CAGCGACCCGCGCTTGAACTGGCTATACCAGGTGGCGGGCTGCTCTTTGGGCCAGCGGGCCATCTTACTCTGGAAGATAGGACACGGGTGCGTTGAGGGCACCGCGGGGCAGGGCCGCCTTACCAGTTTCCCGCGCTTGAATTCACTGAACCAGGAGCCGGGGTTCTCTTTGGGCCAAGAGGTGATTCTGGCCTGAAGGCGGAGCAGGGGGCGCCGAGGGAGAGAAAGAAGGACAGGTTACTCTCTTGCCTGCCGTGGGCGACCCGCCCCGCCCTCCCTCTCGGGGGTCACAGTGCCCGGCCGGGAAGGACTCTGTGGGCGCCTCTGACTGCCCCGGAGCCGAGGCACCTGCTTCATGTGCTCTGTTTATCCAGCATCCAGGCCCCTGGTCCTGCTCAGTGCCTGCGGCCCGAACGAATGAGTGAGTGAATGAGTGAGTGAATGAATGAGTGAATGAGTGAGTGAGTGAATGAGTGAGTAAATGAATCAATTCCGGTGAGACAGCAGGAGCAACATTGACTGATGGGCTCAGGGAAGGACCTGGTGGTGGGTGTGGCTCCGTCTGCGCCGCCACCACCTGGGACAGGTGGGCAGGGCTCATGGGGACACAGCTGGACCAGCTCGGTGTGAGCGGTGGGTGCGTGTGCTGTGTGTGTGCACGCGTGGGCTCCGTGTGGTGCGTGTGATGGAGTGCTCGCCCTCGGAGGAGTGACCTGGGGAACGCCCTGGAACACAGCGCCTGTCCCCCTGCGGGAGGGAGGGGCCTCCCTGTGGAGTTCGCAGGGGCCGAGGCCGCAGGGATGCTGTGGAGCCAGGAATGGGGCCTGAGGGAACGAGTGAGTGAGGGCCCCGCCAGGGGAGCCGTGCGGCCGGCGGGGGGCCGAGGGGCAGAGCCACAGCTGCTGGCGCATCCACGTGCTGCAGGATAGACTACTGGCCTGTCCCAGTCCACGGGGCCGCTGCCTGCGGGTCAGTATGCCTGTCCCCGCCCCCCGCTGTCCTCTGAGCTGGCCTTGGGCAGGAGCGGGACCAGGACCCCCTGGAGGATGAGGGTGTCCAGCTGCCCCGGCCCCTCGGGACTCCCCGCCCTCCTGCTTTGGGGACCACACCCTTGGCTGTGGGGACCTGCTCAGAGGGCGGCCTCCTCGGGGACAGGACCAGGGACTTGGGCAGGGGAAGGACTCTGTGGGCGCCTCTGACTGCCCAGAGCCGAGGCACCTGCTTCATGTGCTCAGTTTATCCAGCATCAGGGCCCCTGGTCCTGCTCAGTGCCTGCGGCCCGAACAAATGAGTGAGTGAATGAGTCAACGAATGAGTGAATGAATGAGTGAGTGAATGAATGAGTGAATGAATGAGTGAACGAGTGAGTGAATGAATGAGTGAACGAATGAGTGAGTGAATGAGTCAACGAATGAGTGAATGAGTGAGTGAATGAGTGAGTGAATG